GAACCAGTTACTTTATTAGCCAGATAGCTAAAGATACCTGGACACATTGAGCAAGATGAGATCTACCATCTTGCTACAGTGGCGTTCCAGTTAGCCAGACAAGTGGAAGCAGTAGTACAAGCAGCAGTAGTTCTAATCCTCAGATAGATTCCCAGAATCCGCTCCAAATGTGCAGACATTGTGAAGGCCTTTCCAGAAATTTCAAGAAAATTATGGATAAAGGCAAGAAGGTCAGTGAAGAGCTAGACCAGCTCCGAGACGAAGAAAACAATTGAGAGCAACCATAGAACCTTAACCAACCAGCTTAAAAAATTAGCTCCAGAAAGAACACCTACCTCCTTACCTAGCCCAGAAATCAAACAACTCACCAGTGAGGAATTTGACCAATTGAGTGCTAGAATGTTTTTCTTCAGGCATTTCTATCATTCGATCCCTTTGTGAGAAAAGCCAAGTAATGGAAGACCTAAAACCCTATATTTATACCTTAGCTGGAGATAGCAGAAATGACGAGTTAGTCATTATTCAGCAGTTTCTTCAAGATCTCTCCATAGCAAGATTGACTGCCCCGGCCTAGCTTACCAATGGAACCTATACTTATGAAGATGAAGAGCAACCCTGCTTAGATGAAGAAAGATGCAATAAGAGGTCAGAACTTTTTGGTAGATGTCAGTGTAACCTAGACTTCAACATTTGCCTTTGCCAGATAAATTTAGCTACATTCGAGCCGCTGGAGATAGAAATTAGGGGGAAACTCGTTATCTAACAGCTCCAAAATTTGTTAGATTACGACTTTGTCTCTAGACTAATTTTCACAGATCCAGATCAGACAGATAACTTCGGACACAAGCTTGCTCATGCAGTACTGTGCGTAATGGAAGAACATCATCCGTATGTGGAAGCTTTAATAGATAGCAAACTACCAGAATGGAAGGAAATATGGTGGCAACCAAGCTAAACACAAAATGTACCTCAGAGGAACCTCCACATTTCCGGGATACCCAGGACTTCTCAATAGGAGACCCTGGCCATGTAGAAGATTTTCACTCAAAGACCAGCTCAATAAATGGAGAAAATTTGCTAGCAACTCTCTCTTAGCCTATAATGGAAATTATGGACATCTAGTCTGTGAAGATAGACATCAGAAGATACATTGTAATTTAGCCATCCCAGGATATCCATTCAGCAAAGAGACATTTATCGATGAAAGTCAGTACCCAAACTACCAACATTGCGTCTCTCATGAATCACCAGTGATGGGAGAAAATGATCAAGAATGGGACGATGAACCACCCATGGGAGATGGAGATGATTTTTACGACCAACTTTCAGCAGCAGATCTTGACGACCTAGCAGATAGAATGTATGGATAAAAAAAAAAAAGTGTTTTTTTCATACTGCACATTATAAATGTTTACTTTAAAAAAAAAAAACGCATCAGTATGCATTTTCCATTTAGATATAAAGTTACATACAAACTCAATTTCAATTATAATAACCAATTTTATATCAATTCTATTTGAGAAATACTTATTTTCCATATATATAATTATAATTTAATTATTATGATATTTAAAAAAAATTAGGGATATTTATCAATAAATCACATCTCAGAAATAAGTACTCCAATTAGTTCCAAGTTTTTTCTATTGATTTGTTAAGTTATATTAGTGGAGAGTTTCTTTCTGTGTGGTCCTATTTTTTATTTTGGTAGTGTTTTGGTGGACAGCTATACCCTTTTATTAATGTGACAGATATGATGTAATACGCTAATGTGACAAGTATTAATGTGACACTCCAAAAAAATAAAAAACTCCTTAATGTACTTTTCCTAAATGTGACAACATGACAGGTATGATGTGACATTCCAAAACTTTTACTCCAAAAAAATAAAAACTATTTAGTGTACTTTTTCCTAATATGACAACATGACGGGTATGATTTGACACTTCAAAAAAAATAAAAAAATCGTTAGTGTACTTTTCTCAAATGTGACAACGTGGTTGGTATAATGTGGCACTCTAACAAAAATTAAAAACTCTTTAGTGTACTTTTCCCAAACGTGACATGTGACACTCCAACGTGGCGGGTATGATGTGACACTCTAAAAAAAATTAAAAAAATTTTAGTGTACTTTTTTCTAATGTGACACTCTAATATGACGGGTATAATGTGACACTAAAAAATTTTTTAGTGTATTTTTTTCCAAATGTTACACTCTAATATGGCGGGCAAATGAGTCATTACACATCTAAAAAGATTAAATGGACCACAAGAAAATTTATGGAACTATATGGATTATAAGTCTAAAATATGGGACTTATTGGTCAATCTCCCAAAAAAAAATCTCAATATATAAATAAATAAATAAGATAGAATATGCTTAATTATGTGTATCGCATAGATTAAATTAATTTTTTTTTATATATTTTATTTTATTCTATCTTATTGATATCTTAATATTTATTTATATTTAATTTTTTATTTAAAATAAAATTATTTATCACGAAACATTTATATTTAATTTTAATTTTATATATATGTACTCCTCCATTTAATTTTCCCCGCCTTAATTCTATGGATTACATGTTCAATACTCTACATAATTAATTTAAGTATTCTCTTCTCAATCCAATCACAACATATTTGTATTTAATCGTTTAAATAAATTTTGCGTAGCTCTATTTTTACATATTTTTATTTTCTAAATACATATAAAAATAAAAATCAAATTAAATAATTAGAATCACTTTTAATTTTATATTACTAATTTTCTTTCAAATTTAACTATCATTTTTAATATCAAAATGAATATTTATTTTACTATCTTATAATTTAATATATATCATATAAAATCATTATATGATAATTACACTTTTGTAACATAATAGAACTAAAATTATCAAAACCAACAAATAATTTAACTAAATTTATTATATATAAGTATTCAAATAAACACTTTTATAAAATGATAAGATTAAGATTATTAAAATAAATAATTTAAATTTAAATTTTATTTTAAATTAAAGTTAATATTATTCTTTTGTAAAATATAAAATATCATTACATTAACTAAAATTAACTCTATTGTGATTTTATGTTAGATATCATATTTCTAGAAGTGATTTACATATACGTATAACATCCAATTTGATATTGATTAATTAAAATAATAGAACTAAATACTTTTTTTATTAAGTTTTTAGAAGGTAAATTGACAAATGCGAAATGATAAATAGTGTGGAGTATTATTTTAAAGAATAATGATTCATCGAAAATAATTGTGTATATTTAAGGCATCTATTGATATTTCTTGAATAATTTTTAAATTTATAGTATTACTGATAATTCACCTTAATGAACTCTGCTAAAAAAGATATGTAAAATAATTTTCCTGAAATAAAAAATTTGCGGTAACTATGATATGTCACATAATTAGTCAGAACCCCTTATTTTATCTTTGAGACAACCCACTAAGTATTTTTTTTCGTGTAATAAAATATTTAAATATTGTCATATAAGTATTATAATAGGTCATAATAAAACATTACTTGAAGTATAATTAAAGACCTAATATACCACTTTACACATAACAAAAAATATAAGAAATCAGTAAAGACTTTTTCGATTAATAACCAAAATAATACACCATAAATTATAACCCAGTCGTAATTTGTATATTATAAAATTTTTCGTTATTTTTTTTTTAATTTTTTTTTTAATAAGCTACCCACATAATTTGAATCTAAAAAGCACCAATTGAGATGCCTTTTAAAATCAACTTTTTCCTTATATTTAAGTTGCAATAAGTTATAAATTGCTACCTTGTAAGTTACACAAAACATACCATTTCAACTTCAATTAAACTAAAAGTTGAAATAAGTTATTTTTAAACTACAAGTTAATTACTTAATTATTAAAATTTAGATAAATTACAAATACATCCCCTGAGATTTCTTTAAGAGTGCTTCTATTAGCACCTCTTAAAATTCTTTAGACCCCCCAATTTATAATTTTTTTTTGGTTACAATTATACCCTAAAGTAAAATTATATTAAAAGACATTATTAAATGGAATACTCACCTATCAAATAAGAACTAATACTCTATAATATTGGACACCCACCTCCACCTCCACCTCCACCTCCAACTATACGTATTCTATGTTTGTAAACCCTAAACCTATTACTCTTCATAACCAACCAAAATAAACCCTAAATCTATTATTTTTCATAATCATCTTAAATCCTAAACGTGTCATCTTCATTACCATCATCAACCCTATTGAATTCGAAAGTTTTGCTTCAAGCATAACGCATACTTCATCACTTATTTCACCGTGTAGAGTAATGGAGGACGATGACAACAGTTCTAATAAGACCGGTATTTCATTAGTAAGTTTATATGTCTTGCATTAACATTCCCGATCATTTTCAGTCGTTCTTCTTTTGTTCGAGTTGTTCGGTGCTGGTTTACCGACTGTCAGGATTATGTTCGGTAATACAGTACTTAACATAATCCTTTCGTTCAATGCATAGGTTCTGAACATTAATACAGATAGTCAATACTATGAAACCGAATAGAATCTTTATTTTCGGCATTGTTGAACTGAACAAAACCATTAGTTTCGGGACTATTCAACCAAACATCATTTTTCAATTTTGAAATTACATTCACACGTGTTTTTAGGGTGATACTTCGACTAGAGGAAGTAATTCAGAACTTGTAATGGATTATAGCAATGAATTTGTTAGTCATAAGGTGAGTCTTTGATTGTTTTACAAATAATGTACCTTTTTTGTCTTCTTTTATGTGCAATAATTGGTTAGTTTAAGTTATTTATTTTAGATATTCAAGAGTCAAGATGAGTTAATTCGATGGGCACGTCAAGTTGGAAGAATAAATGGATTCGTTATTGTCGTGCAGAAATTAGATAGGGGTGGGACTGAGATTAAGATTTCAAAATGCACATTTAAAACATTTGAAACCAACAAATACTAAAGTCTAAGACGTTGCTCCACGTTTCGTGCGACGAGTGTACACCAAGGTCTCTGATGGTGTATGTTCTTCAGTGGACTGTTGGCCCTTCCAGACTTGTGTTATCTTTTTCATAGCATTGCGTAACATATCTCGGGTTGGAGTTGTTTCATTGTATCCAATTTCAATCATTGAACGTGAAATGCTCAAGGCATTGTCAATGCGCTACAAACAAGAAAATAAAACTTAGCAATTGTCTTAAACAAAATATATATAAAAATGAAAAGGTTAAAAGTTGACATACGAATTAAAGCTGATGATAATTAGCTGATGTCTCAGTGTGTGGGTTATACTTAGAACGATGTGTTGGGTTTTGAACTTGCATGTGTGAAATGGAAGTAAACCAGTCCAAATAACCTGACACACAATCCCATGGATGCAAGACCAGAACACTACACGCCATCTTAGACAACAAGTGATTTTCCCAACTCTCCCAAATCGTTTCCAAGTATTTATAGGTAATGTTGTATTGTTTTGTAGTGGATCCTCTAGAGGCTTGAACTAGAGCAAGCGGAGGTGAGGGAATAGTTTGTACCCAGCCAAACTGTCTCAGCACCCTATCCGGATGGTATGGTTCAATAATGTGCATACATTTTAAGCATCCACTATAGTAAGCAACATCAAAAAAAGAATACTTGATACGCTTATCATGGTATGGATCCCAAATAACCTACAATAGTCAAAATTTTATATATAAGTTATGAATTAGGTTAAATAATAGCAAGTAATATGTACATACACGGAGTTAAGATTGACACTTACATCATGGGCCTCTAATCTATCGAGGTTCTCTCGCAACCTTTGTAAAATAGACATTGACAAACCAGATTGGGTGCGAGAAATCCAACGAAAGACACGAGGTTGCTCTTCTTTATAGTCCAAATTGGAGTAAGGTCTAGCACCAACAAAATGCTCGTAAATTCAAGCTTCTAGCAATGTCGTGTATCCTGCCATTTGTTTCACAACATACCTTGTGGCAGTACCCAATTGCCTGTATAAAAAAGCCAATGCGGCTGCACCCCAAGCATAAGAAGCAACCGATCGCAAATCCATAAGAAAAGACAAATACACTACCGGAATACATGTGCCAGTCTTGTTTGCAAATAATGTACAACCTAAAAAATATAACAAATATGCCCTAGTTGCACACTCAATGGTATTATCATTATCCGCATCAGACACTGACCCAAACCGTTGTCTCAACCATTCTACCTTGATAGACTGGCCTTGTGCTACCTTCAACCCTACATTTGCCTCATCTACTATTACTCCCAAAGTCTCAACTAGCAGATTTGCAGCATCAACATTTGATAACTTCTTGTAAGAGACAGATTTACCAATCACTGGAATCACTAGAATTACACTAACATCATCTAAGGTTCGTGATATCTCACTAAATGGTAGATAAAACGTGTTTGTCTCTGGCTGTCATCTTTCTACAAAGGCCAAAAGTACAACTTTGTTTACTAATTTATATGAGCAACTCAGTAAAGAAATCAACCCCGAATCCTTAATTAAACCATGAAATTTGGATTGTTCATTTTCTTTCAAGTTAAATGACCATTCACTAACTTTAAAACCATGATTTAAGCATTTAAGTGTTCCGCGTTCCTACAACATAGAAAATAATAATAATAATAATAATAAAGAATTAGTAAAGTTGAAACAAAATTAAATTAATTTAAGACAATGACTTACATCATTATGCTAAATTTTTGTAGCTACGTGACAATGAAAACTCTTCAAAATTGAAGGATCATTTGGCCCTCCAGGAAAAGGTCCAGTAAGATCTTCATTAACTTTTTTAGTTGTATCTGCTAGTTGGTCTTCATAGTCACCCATGTATGTTGGTTCATCATCTGGATCATCATCTATGTCTGTTAGTTCATCACTTGGATCATCACCCATATCTATTGGTTCATCACCCAATTCATCACCCATGTCACTAACTGTAACGCCCGCATCCTTTAATTCTTTAGAGAGTGTGTTTAATATCCTTATTTTTATCTTGAGAGTCTTTGGAGTTGTTGTTTATTGGTTTTGAAGGAGTACAATCTGATTTAAACTCGTTGGGTTTGTTCATTCGCATTTGTTCTTGTCAAAAGTTCCTTGGAAACTTAGAAATTTCGCCTTAGGGTCGACACCAGCCTTCCTAAGGGTCGACCCTTACCTGTTGGTGAAGTTTTTGGAGGTGTTGCTGGAAAATAGGGTGGATACCAGTCTGGGGAGGGTCGACTCTCTTATGTTGCAAAATTTCTGTGTTAATTGTTGGAAAATAAGGTCGACCCCCTCCTGTCTAAGGGTCAACCCCCTTGTTTGTACCAGATTGCCTTTTCTACATAAAGGGTCGACCCCTGCGTGTTTTTTTCAGATTTTTGTGCTAGTTTGGGCCCTACTTTTTGAGAGCTTTGACTTGTTTCTTTCATTTGACTTTGGGGCTATTATTCTATTATTACCTTGCTACTATAAATAGGCTCCAAACATATTTTATTTCACTTTTTCTTCTTTTCCCTCTCTCTCAAACCGTGAGTTTTCCTCTCTCTCTCTAAACCCAAGCTTTTAGCACTAAGACCTCTAGATCTATTCACCTAGAGTGATCTTTTCACCATGGTTATTTGAGAAAAAGTGTAGATTTCGTCAAGGGCTTCTTTTTGGTCCGAATGGTTCGTGGTTTCGTCGCTATTGATGTTTGAGTCGTCATCTCTTGGCTTCAAGAGGTAGGGGTTTCTAGTTCTCTTTCAATACTCTCGTTTATGGATAAATTTGTGGTATTTTCTTTATACAAATACACAAGTTTATATTTTTATGCATATTGTGATAAATCACGAGATTGGGGGTTAGGGTTTGAAGAGAGTTGGGTTTATTTGTTGGGTTATGATCTTAGGTTATGAGTTTGGGTGTAAAAGTAATAGAAGGGTTGGAGGCCTCATTTGGGAACATGTTATTTTAGTAACTTTTTGACTTTTTACGAAAAGATGTGCAGAAAAGTAGAGAGGTGATGTGACAACTTTTAGTAACTTTTTGACTTTTTGACTAAAATAGCTACTCCCCAAACCAGGTCCTAGTTTGGCTCATGAAGATGGTTAATGGTTTTGCTTTAATTGATAGTAGAATCATGAAATTGAGGTGTTAAATTACACATGTACAAGTTTAATTGAAATTTTAAAAAATTTGTGAAATTTTAAAAAATTTGAGAAATTTATGTAAAAGTTGCGATTGAACTCATAATGTTGATGTCTTAAATTATGTTATAATGTGAACCAAACTTGGGGGAAAGGAAATTACTAATGGTATGGATGATATGAGCCTTGTGTTGAAATGGTTGTGTTGAATCTTATTGTGTGTTATGTGAATTGTATTAGGTTATGTTGTGTTGAGTTGGTTGAATTGTGTTGTGTGGAATTGAGTTGTGTTGGGTTGAGTTGAGTTGTGTTAGGTTGTGTTGTGGTTGGTACCCGTACGTGGGAGTTGAAAAATTGTTTTCGGTGCCCACGACCGTCAGTGTGATAGCTGGTAAATGTGGGGGATTGTTTTAAAAATTGAAAAAAATGGTTTTTCGGTGCCCACAACCATCCGTATAATAGCCGGTAAATGTGGGGGTGGTTTGAATTCAAGGTGTCCAATTGCCCTGCCTAGGCTTATCGTTGGACGAATGTGGGAAAAATATTTTTGGGTGTCCACACAGTCCTGCCATATTGTCGCTGGCGAAAGTGGAAAAATAATTTTTGGGTGTCCACACAGTCCTGCCGTATTGTAGCCGGCAAAAGTGAAAAAACGGATGGTTTTCGAAAATATTTTGGGTGCTCACGTCCTGCCGTATAATAGCCGGCAAATGTGGGGGATAGTTTTAAAACGTTAAAAATGGTTTTCGGAAAAAGATATGGTTTTTGAGAAAATGATTTTTGGGAGTTCATTTCCCGCCGTATAATAGTCGGCAAAAGGTGGCATGTGCTATGAATTGAGTGCCCGCTATCCCGTCGTATCAAGTCGGCAAAATGTAGAATGTGTTGTGACGTGTGTTGAGATCGGTGATGATATATGTGACTTATGATGAACTTGTGAAATTACCATTTGATGTGTAAACTGGTATGGAATGGAAATGCTTATGGGAATTATTTGAAAAGAATGAATAATGAAATGATAATTGGACGAGGGGTTAGTGATAAAGAACTCATCGGATTGTTTGCATCTATAAGGAAAAATTAAGAGTTTTGTTTCATGATTAATTGAGAAATTGAATTAAAAAGGGTTATTGTCCTTGTGAGATGTTGAATTATGATTGATAACACACATGTAGATATGATGTAGTTGTGATATGTTGAATTATAGTTGATAATGCAAATGTGGATGTGATGTAGTTGTTAGATAAGTAGGAGGTGGGTGTAGGATAATAGTTATTGACTATAAAAGAGATTTGGATTTTTACATTGAGGAGTTACAACAAATATGAATAGATTGATGAGAATAACATATATGTGGGATGTTTGGAGTCTTAAAGGAACTTGAACTTGAGGTTATGGCGTTATAATAAATGTAACTAGAAAAGGGGGAGAATGGAAATAAAAAGAGGAATATTATGGAATGGGTTAATAAAATTAAAATGATGTTGTTCCTGAAATATATTTGTTTTCAGAAAGGATTTTATGTTTTTCTGATAAAAAGGGATAGTTTTGATGGTTGAAGGTTTTCCTTACAATGTTTCAAATAAACTTTGAGAAAAAGGTACTCTATGTACGATATTTTGAAATTACAAAAATTACTTTACTAAATGGTATCACCCTGTATGCACGATCATTTCTATCTATAAGATGGTTATTGCTTTAGAACTGTGAGATTCCTACTGGGCAATTGTGCTCACCCCTTGTTGTTTTATTTATTTTTACTGGAAGAGATTTCGGATTGATTGGTTGAAGGATTAGGAAGTTCATGTGTCTCTTATGTGTAATCTCATTGTACATTGATGTTTATATTCATTTATTTGTAGCTCCACAGTGGAAGTGAGAATGTATTATTATTATTGTTGTACTCATCATGAGGAGAGAACATGTACTATTATGTTTCTATTACTCAAGGGTAATAGATATTTTTAATTTTTAAAAAAATGGACCTAAATTTCAGGTTCTTGGTAATGTTTTCGAGTAATTAAAATTTGGGGCGTGACACTAACATTCAATTGATTGCCCCCATTGTTTTCAACCTCAACCATTTTTGCTAAAACAACATCTATGTCATTCATGTCCTGCTCATTAACTCAATTACCTTGATCCTTAGTCTTATGAGTGCGTCGAGGTCTCTTAGCCGCTTTTTGAGAAAGTACAACATTACGTCTCCTAGACACTGTTGAGCGATCTCAAGTAGTTTCCACCATAGCTGTCCACCAAATACAATTAGATGTTAGTCAATGACAATGTAAGCAAATATATCCAATGTCCATTACCTTTAATAATATAGAGTCAGTCTTTCCTATGTATCGAAAATGCATGTCATCTAGGGACGTTAGATATATAACTTGTAAGCTATTGAAGCCTATCTTAAATAGGTGTGGCATGACCAATGAGGCAAAAAAACATGCATAGTCAGAAGTATATATACATGTATTTTTATGTACGTAGATATCAATTAGAGACAGCTTTTACCATTTCTTCATGTTGATATAATGTGCTGAAATTAGCACTGTTTTCAAACAACCTACTTAACTCTTGTTAGGTTTATGATGTGTATTGTGCTAATTAGAGTTCGTTTATGTGGAAGACAGCTAATACAAGTGTTGTGTGATTATGTGGCTATAAGTTGATGTATAAAAATACATGGAAAAGAAACTAAAAATATAAATTAAAAAATTTGGCAGGTTGCTACCTTGTTTGCCTCCTCTTTTTTTTTTTTTTTTTTTTTTTTTTGCAGAAACTGCAGATAAGTTTTTGGTGTTTTTTAGTTTTGTTTTTTTCATGCACAAAGAAAACACAACCAAAATACCCAACATTCCAAGACAAAGGGTCAGCCAAAACAAATTTTTTAAAAGACAAAAGGTTCTAATATTTTTATTTTATTTTATTTCTAGTTTGTATGTAGACTTTTATTACATTATAATATTCAAGCCATCTATTAGATTATAATATTCAAACATCTATTCCCTAAAAAATTTGAATTTTATGTGGAATCAGGCTATCCATTACATTATAATATTCTCTCACAATTAAGATTTTGTGTGGTTGTGGTTTTTGTTGCTAAAGGGTTTTTGTTTGTGTGGTCATGATTAATTGCAGAGAAGAGATAAACAAATTATACCTTTGATTCTTAAGAAAAAGTCTACAACTTTGTTGTGTGTGGCTTCATCACCAGCTACGTTGTGTGTGGCTTCACAAATAACAAAAGACTGTAAGAAACAGAGGAGACGAAACAACAACACTTTGTAAGAAAAAAAAAAAGCAATGAAACAACAACACTTTGTAAGAAATGGGTAGATTGGGTCGGTGTAGAAGAGACGAAACAGAGACAGACGCTCAAGTAATAGAGAAGGAGAGAGTATGAAAATTTGGGTGAGTGTGCATTTGATTGTAAAAATATTATGAATATGGATAGATTTGGTAATAAGTGGGGGTGTCAAAAAAATATTATTAAAATTTAGTGTTTCGGATGGGGATCTAAAAAAATGAAGGGTCTAAAGAATTTTAGCAAGTGCTAATAGTAGCATTCTTCTTTAAAGTACAGATTACCCCGATGTTTTTGAAAATTACGAATATTACATTGTCAAAATTTTTTATTTAACAGAATTAATTAAAAAAATAAAAATTATACCTTTGATTCTTAAGAAAAAGTCTACAGCTTTGTTGTGTGTGGCTTCATCACCAGCTACGTTGTGTGTGGCTTCACAAATAACAAAAGACTGTAAGAAACAGAGGAGACGAAACAACAACACTTTGTAAAAAAAAAAAAAGCAATGA